CTTGATCTATTATAACCACCACTGCCAAATCCACCACTTCCGTATCTACCATAACCATCTCCGAATCCACCTCCATATGCAGTCCTAGAATCATTGGATCGCTTCGATGGAGGTGGGGGAGGGTTCGATTTCTTTGGCTCCGCCCTTTTTATCTCCACCTACAGGCAAAGGGACACATCATGAGATTCATTTTAGCGTTTGCAAAATTAACCAAAAGATAACAAATTTTCCAAATTCACCTTATTCAAACTCACGGCCCACAGGTAAAAACTAAAAAGAAACCATTGCTAAAATAATGGAGAATCTCAATAAGCAAATTTTAAGGACTAAAAGTATCGACTCGTCAAAGCAAAATGGTACACGTTCAAGGGACTGCCATCATTTGGTAACAGCTCAAAGTAAAAAAAAAAAATACCCCATGGAATCAGTACGGCATTTCATGTAAAAACCAACTCGACCAGCAAACCACATACCTGAGCTCCGGCAAAATCGATCTTGTTTCCCTTCTCTAAGAGATCGTCAACAGCTTGCTCTGTTTCAAAAGTGATAAACCCAAAACCACGAGAACGATTAGTGGCATGATCTCGCATGATTTGGTGTTCTCTGACTTCTCCATATCGTGTAAAGAAGTCCTTGAACTCATCTGTCGATTTGCACCAAACAGATTAATATTTAGGAGAAATATCGACAACGAATCAAGACATTTCAGACAAATGGCTTCAATCTTCAATGTTATATGCATTGAAGAAAGGAAAAGATTTGTATCACCTTCAGATACAGTTGAAGGAATTCCACCTACAAAAATCTTTCTGGTCTTGAAATCTTTACCTCCGGCAGCTCCTTTTGGTATTGTTCTCTTGATCTCTACCTAATAGGCCAAAAAGTGAGCCAACGAACAGAACCTCAAGTCAAAACCGAAGCAGCGTATACCGTACTACAGTGAGGAAACATAACAATCAACTTAACATTGAGACTATAGCTGATTCTCACTTGTTTCCCATTAATAACATGAGTGTCCTCGATGACTTTATCAACCACAGAAGGCTCTGCATAAGTCACAAACCCGAACCCACGAGGCTGTCCCGTATTCCGGTCCTTCATTATCACAGAATCCGTAATTTCACCATATTTACCAAAATGCTCAAGAAATTGTGCTGCATAAAATACGGAAAACAACCGAATCGGCACAGACTACAGACGAAGCAATTCGTGCTATAATATTCAATGCGATTAAGGAAAAAAAATCTCTAACAAACAAGCTAAAGAACTAACCAGAACTTGTCTCTCTCGCTAAACCTCCTACAAAAATTTTGCTGCAAATTTCCAAATATCGAATATAAATCATTAATCACTTCCAAAGTATTCATGCTAAAAGCGACCTTTCAAAGAAACAAATACCTCTAAACATATCAAAACAATCCTACAAAAGTCTAAAGCAAAAAAGAGAAAGAAGAACCCTAATTCCTCTTCTTTCGTTTTCATCTTCATTATAAAATGACATACAAAACCAGACTTTTTATGAAAACAATTGAAAAAAAAAGAAAAAAAAATGGGTATTTTCATTTCACTTAAATTCACATATATTTTCCAAGTCATTAACTAAATGGTAAAGAAAAAAGGCTCAAGTTTTATCTTTAATTTTTCTTTCTATCATTTTCACAGGAAACAGAGTAAATCTAAAAGTACATATACATTAAAAGAACGAGCCAATCTAGTTTTCAGTCAATTTACGTTTTTTAAATGACATTAAGCAATGGGTATTCAAAAATTTCAAGATTTTCCCCCAATTTTTTTTCTCAGGAAACAAAGATAAAAAGTGGAAACAAATTTACCCGGGGCTGGCGCCATCGCCGGTGTGAGGGTGAGATTTGTCGCCGGAGGGATTGAAATCGTTGGTTTCGGCGACGGGAAGTGGTTCACCGCCTCGAGGGTCCATCGGCAGAGTAGGGAAAGAAAGAAAGCTGAACCCTAAAAATGGGTTTTTTCTAAAGCATTTGAAGTTAAAATAGGAACCCTTAAATAGAAACCACCGACAGTTATTATTGGCTAAAAAGGCAAGGCTGTGTAAGAACGTTGTTTAATGTTTAATTATTTGTTACAAAATATTATTCGTTTAAATAATATATATTTGATTTTATATTAGTTTATATGTTACACTAATAATAATATTAATTTTATTTATTTATTGTTTTGGCTTAATTATAAAATAAAGTGTCAAATTATAGCGCTTTTTACAAATAGGTGCCCAAACATTTTTTTTGAATGATTTAGGTGTCTAATGTTACAAATGTTATCATTTTAGGTGCATGAGTCGTAGTTGTTTTTAAGTGACACATGTCATATTTTGGTAATTTTGATTTTTTAAAATTAAAAATATCATTATATTTATAGAAACACTAATTTCTATTAAATTAAAAAAAAATCTCAAATCCCTAAAAATCCTAAATCCTTAACCCGCCGCTGTTGACGTAGTCCCTACCATCTTCCAACTCATACGTCGCCATAGTTATCGTCGATTGGTTGTCAGGATTACGTGGGGTTGTGATTTTTATCTTAGGGTTATCGGGATACTATACGTCGGTCGTGATTCCTTAGTTTATTGATTGCCTAGGGAGGCGAAGTTGGGTGGAGCTTCGTCGACGACAAAGGACGGCAAGCTAGTATGGGTTTAGGTGTTAAAATGAATGTTTTCAAAGTTTTTGGATATTTCAAAAATTTTGTGTTTTTTCTAAATATAGTTTTAATTTTAAATAAAATTTTTAAAATTATCAGAATATGACATTTATCATTTAACCGAGAAAATTAAAGGCGTTTACGACCCAGACACCTAAAGTGGTAACATTTGTCACGTTAGATACTTGAACTATTCAAAAAAGTTCAAACACATATTCATAAAAAGCACTATAGCTTAAGTACTTATTTTATAATTAAGCCTTTATTTTTTATTTTATAAATAAATAGTTTATATTATTTATTTATTTTTAAATTATAAATCGTATAAAAGATTAATTTAATGATTATAAGGTCATTTTGATCATTTCCAAATCAAGTAGGTATCGTCTCAGTAAGTTTTAATTGAGTAATTTCTGATTATTTTATTTAAGGATTATAAAAGTATAGGGTAAAATATAAAATGACTTTCTAACTATAATGTATTGTTTTATTAAATCTTTCAACTATTAAAAATTATAAAATGATCTTTTAACTATAGAGTGTTGTTTTGTTGAGTCATTCGACTATTAAAAATTACAAAATATCACCTAATTTTTTAATATGTTTCAAACTCGTCATTTTTGTCTGACCAAAACGTTAACATGATGGCTAAAATATAATAATTATTTAAGATTTTAGGATCATATTTTATTATATCACAGTCAACTAATTAACGTTCAACTCAGAATGCCATCAATTTTTAATGAAAAATGACGAGTTTGAAACATAATGAATAGTCAAGTGAATATTTTGTAACTTTTAATAGTTGAGGGACTTAACAAAGCAACACTCTAGTCGGAGAACCATTTTATAACTTTTAATAGTCGATGGACTTAATAAAATAATACCCTATAGTCGAGGATCATTGTAAACTTTATCCAAAAAATATATTAAAATTATTATTATAATATTAATTATTATTTAAATGAAAGAATAATTTAATAATTCTTAGGGTAAACTATACATTTATTATATAAATTATCAATTTTAGTCAATTTTAGTACCTAGACTTTCACTTTTTTCAAAATCATGCTAACTTTTAGTTTTTATTTCAGTTTAGTATACACCGTTACAAACTTAGCGTGTTAGTACCTAAATTTTCAATTTTGGTCAATTTTAATACCTAAACTTTCAAAAAAAATCAAAACTTAATGTTAAATTTTGAACAATGATACTAAAATGAAACAACAACTAAACTTTAGATATGATTTTTTAAAAATTCAAAGTTTTGGTACTAAAAGAGACCAAAATTGAAGTTTGGGTACTAAACACGTAATTTACCCAAATTTTTAACTATTGTGTTAGCGATCAGATGATTCGATCGTCCAATCATTAAAATTTAAGGTTATAAGTTTTGCTTGTACGTATACATACATACAACAAAATTTGGCAAACTTAACACGTTATAAACTTAAATCATTTAGTACTTAAATTATCAATTTTGCTCTATTTTAATACCTAAACTTTCAAAAAAATATCAAAACTTAATGTTAAATTTTGAACAATGGTACTAAAATGAAATAAAAATTGAACTTTAGATATGGTTTTTAAAAACATTCAAAGTTTAGGTACTGAAAGGGATCAAAATTGATAATTTTAGTACTAAACGCATAATTTACTATAATTTTTAACTATTGTGTTAGCGATAGAAGATTCGATCCTCCAGTCATTAAAATTCGAGGTTATAAGTTTTGCCTGTACGTATACATACATACAACAAAATTTGGCAAACTTTTCGCCAGATTCTAACTTCCGAGCAATACAACAACAAAAATTAAGTTCAATGAAAGACAAATAATAAGTGTTTTGGGGATTAGACCTCCTACCCTCTATCAATAATACAGAGTTTCATCGATCCTTTTTCTCACGTAAACTACAAAGGGTTGCGGGGTTCTCACACTACTTCAAAATTGTTTTACAACGACGTTTTGAGAGTAAATACCACTGACTGTAAACATATAGTGGCATTTTCCTTCCAAACGCCACGATATGGTAACATTAGCGGCGTTTTTTACAAATGCCACAATAAGATCAATTTACAGAGGCATTTTTCAACAAACACGGCAAAATAGTAGAACTTTAAATGTTACAACATTTACTGGTGGTTATTTTAAAACGCCACAAAATAACAACATATATAGCGGCGTTTTATAACAACGCCGCTAAAAGTCATTATCTTTAGCGACGGTTATGAAAAAACACCGTAAAAATTCATAACCATTAGCGACGTTTTATGACTAAAAAATGCCGCTAAAAACTTATTTTGCTGTAATGTCAGAGATTGTTCATCAAAACCTAGGGGGCTTCTCCGGTCGGGTGTGACGGGTGCCGGTATGATTGAAGTAGGCTTGAGAGTGCGTGGTGGCTGGGATCGTCCAAGAGGTCGGTAGAAGAAACATATGAAGCCAACAATCACTGTGATTACAATTAACCATAACCTTTGCCCAAAAGAAGACATTAATAGTAGCTTTTGGTTCAAGTTTCTCATCTGGTTCATAGTTAACATCCAATTCTGCTCTTTGACCTAAAATAAGAAGAAATAATAGATGAGAAGCTATTCGACATTGTACTCGTAAAAACAGAATCCGGATTCGAGACTAAGCTGACCGGTGGATGGGAGTGTGACGATGATTTTATCGGTGAACCGCTTGGCACTTGACACTTTTACGTGAATTGCAGATACAGTAAGATCAAAAAAGTAGCTTTGCAGCTAACAATTGCTCATTTCGGACGATACACACTGCTTTGACAGAACAATTTTTTTAGACGATAAGAATGGGCAGTCTCACCTCATACTGCACATGGCCAGCAGCTCCAAATCCTTCTTCGTGGACGGGTTTTATCTTTAACAAATCCCGGCTGCGCCAGTGGATTTCAACATCTACAAAGATCATATGAAAGAGGGAAATAATATTTGATAGACAAATGGAACTATGGAATGCATCAGTACAAAAGAAGTGGGAGATGGAGTTGCAGCAAGAATGGACTTATGTATCAGCAAGGAGATGCAAAGAAAGAGGCGGTGCGTTTGCCCGAGTCATTTTACCTGTATTTCCCAAGATGGTTACGAGCGTCGTGTTAGAGTCTGGTGTCAGATTCAACTGTGTTGTATCCTGAAACACAGAAAACATTCAGAAAATAATCCGTGATCCCTATTCGTGTTTGATGCGATAAAACTTATTATAATTGAAACAGTTCATTTGAAATATAAATGCAATACTAATAGTTCAATGATCTTATGCCACATCCGGAGGAATCGACGAATACAACGCAAGTGTTACCTCTCCCATTTGAACTATGGAAAATCCCCCGACAAGAAGTGCAGATGCAGATCCAGAAACATGGCTGTGTTCTTTCTTTGAAGCATTGATAGAAACATAAATGTAAGGTTTCATGTCCTTCAACTTGGGTGCGGTGCGGAACAATTGCTCTGGAGAGTAAGGGAAGAATAGGCAAAATGAATCGCCAGTGTCATGATCCATCCACGGCTTGGCATAGCTGCAGAAAACAAAATTAATCATCATAAATAATACAATTATTATATACAAGAACATTCAAACTTGAATAAGAGAGAGAGAGAGAGAGAGAGAGATACCCGATAAAAGGAGGGTCTACCCTACAGTCATATGGAGCTCCTTTACTGCTTCCTATGGCGTTGATCTTGATCTTGTCATTTATGCCACTGGTGTATGGTAAGAGTTAAAAATTTTCCTTACACATCGTTATTTGTTTTGCTCAAAACACAACTTAATAAATAACCATCAGTCCTTTATTATGCCAAAGATGGTCAGCCAGCTCCAAAAAATTGTCATATATTCTTTGAAGTTAATGAAAATTGAAATTTAAAAAAGGGAACAACTCAAACTGTCATCAAATTTTTTTATAAAAAATGACAAGCTTGAAACATAATGATTAATCAGGTGACCATTTTGTAACTTTTAATAGTCTAAGAATTCAATAAAGCAATACCTATAGTCGGGGACCATTTATGCACTTTACCAGGTGGATCTTCCGTAAAACGTCTTCTTAAACACTTAAAATTTTAGAATACCCATAGGGAGTCGAGTTGCAAGTTGGCATAACAAGCTTAGAAACACAAAAATATTCTACAAACCTGAACTTCACAGAAAAGCTAAATCCTTGAGAGGGAAGAGGAACATTTGTCAGCATCTCCTTTGGAGCATCCACAGCAAGAGTACTTCCAGGTAGAACAGTGACTGTTGTTTGCAGCTTGACATCGGAACATGTAACACAAATTGAAGGATACTATTGATGATTATTTCTCATTAAAAAAATTATGGTAGTTTGAGTTGAACGTTAATATATTGACTGAGATATGATAGTCGTTTGAGATTTTGAGCTGGGCCTTAACACAAAGGCCTACGAGCTAATAGGCTTTATCATGTCTAAGCCCAAGAGAGTTGGGGCATCCACCTTGAACCCAAACATTTATTCGCCCTATTTTACAAATAAAATTTAAATGATTATATAATATTCTAAACATAATTATACACAATTATTATTTTATGATATCTTTAATTTTTTTTCATGCCTACATTCAAGGGTTAATGTATTAATGGTAGTAATTTGTAATCTATAAACTTTTAGGGTAAAGTATTTTATTTTTTTTGTTTTAAGGGTGTTTGAAATCTATAAACTTTTAGGGTAAAGTATACAAATAGTCCTTCGATTATGGGATATTGCTTTATTGAGTCATTTGACTATTAAAAGTTACAAAATTGTCTATTGACTATAAGGAATTACTTTGTTGAGTTACTCGACTATTAAAAGTTACAAAAGGATCGCTCAATTATTCATTATATTCCAAACTCGTCCTTTTTCGTTAAAAAATTAGCGGACGTCTGAGTTGGACGTTAACATGTTGGCTGAGATATGATAGTCATCTGAGATTATGAGATCATATTTTTATCATAACTCAATCGGTAGGTCGATGTATAGCTTAGTTTGTCGTTAGATTTTTAAAGAAAAATAACGAGTTTGAAGCATAATGAATAGTTGGATGACATTTCAGACAAATGGCTTCAATCTTCAATGTTATATGCATTGAAGAAAGGAAAAGATTTGTATCACCTTCAGATACAGTTGAAGGAATTCCACCTACAAAAATCTTTCTGGTCTTGAAATCTTTACCTCCGGCAGCTCCTTTTGGTATTGTTCTCTTGATCTCTACCTAATAGGCCAAAAAGTGAGCCAACGAACAGAACCTCAAGTCAAAACCGAAGCAGCGTATACCGTACTACAGTGAGGAAACATAACAATCAACTTAACATTGAGACTATAGCTGATTCTCACTTGTTTCCCATTAATAACATGAGTGTCCTCGATGACTTTATCAACCACAGAAGGCTCTGCATAAGTCACAAACCCGAACCCACGAGGCTGTCCCGTATTCCGGTCCTTCATTATCACAGAATCCGTAATTTCACCATATTTACCAAAATGCTCAAGAAATTGTGCTGCATAAAATACGGAAAACAACCGAATCGGCACAGACTACAGACGAAGCAATTCGTGCTATAATATTCAATGCGATTAAGGAAAAAAAATCTCTAACAAACAAGCTAAAGAACTAACCAGAACTTGTCTCTCTCGCTAAACCTCCTACAAAAATTTTGCTGCAAATTTCCAAATATCGAATATAAATCATTAATCACTTCCAAAGTATTCATGCTAAAAGCGACCTTTCAAAGAAACAAATACCTCTAAACATATCAAAACAATCCTACAAAAGTCTAAAGCAAAAAAGAGAAAAGAAGAACCCTAATTCCTCTTCTTTCGTTTTCATCTTCATTATAAAATGACATACAAAACCAGACTTTTTATGAAAACAATTGAAAAAAAAAGAAAAAAAATGGGTATTTTCATTTCACTTAAATTCACATATATTTTCCAAGTCATTAACTAAATGGTAAAGAAAAAAGGCTCAAGTTTTATCTTTAATTTTTCTTTCTATCATTTTCACAGGAAACAGAGTAAATCTAAAAGTACATATACATTTAAAGAACGAGCCAATCTAGTTTTCAGTCAATTTACGTTTTTTAAATGACATTAAGCAATGGGTATTCAAAAATTTCAAGATTTTCCCCCAATTTTTTTTCTCAGGAAACAAAGATAAAAAGTGGAAACAAATTTACCCGGGGCTGGCGCCATCGCCGGTGTGAGGGTGAGATTTGTCGCCGGAGGGATTGAAATCGTTGGTTTCGGCGACGGGAAGTGGTTCACCGCCTCGAGGGTCCATCGGCAGAGTAGGGAAAGAAAGAAAGCTGAACCCTAAAAATGGGTTTTTTCTAAAGCATTTGAAGTTAAAATAGGAACCCTTAAATAGAAACCACCGACAGTTATTATTGGCTAAAAAGGCAAGGCTGTGTAAGAACGTTGTTTAATGTTTGCTTATTTGTTACAAAATATTATTCGTTTAAATAATATATATTTGATTTTATATTAGTTTATATGTTACACTAATAATAATATTAATTTTATTTATTTATTGTTTTGGCTTAATTATAAAATAAGTGTCAAATTATAGCGCTTTTTACAAATAGGTGCTCAAACATTTTTTTTGAATGACTCAGGTGTCTAATGTTACAAACGTTATCATTTTAGGTGCATGAGTCGTCGTTGTTGTTAAGTGACACATGTCATATTTTGGTAATTTTGATTTTTTAAAATTAAAAATATCATTATATTTATAGAAACACTAATTTCTATTAAATTACAAAAAAATCTCAAATCCCTAAAAATCCTAAATCCTTAACCCGCCGCTGTTGACGTAGACCCTACCATCTTCCAACTCATACGTTGCCATAGTTATCGTCGATTGGTTGTCGGGATTACGTGGAGTTGTGATTTTTAACTTAGGGTTCTCAGGATACTATACGTCGGCCGTGATTCCTTAGTTTATTGATTGCCTAGGGAGGCGAGGTTGAGTGGAGCTTCGTCGACGACAAAGGATGGCGGCTAGTATGGGTTTAGGTGTTGAAATGAATATTTTCAAAGTTTTTGGATATTTCAAAAAAAAATTTGTTTTTTCTAAATATAGTTTTAATTTTAAATAAAATTTTTAAAATTATCAGAATATAACATGTATCATTTAACCGAGAAAATTAAAGGCGTTTACGACCCAGACACCTAAAGTGGTAACATTTGTCACGTTAGATACTTGAACTATTCAAAAAAGTTCAAACACATATTCATAAAAAGCACTATAGCTTAAGTACTTATTTTATAATTAAGCCTTTATTTTTTATTTTATAAATAACTAGTTTATATTATTTATTTATTTTTAAATTATAAATCGTATAAAAGATTAATTTAATGATTATAAGGTCATTTTGATCATTTCCAAATCAAGTAGGTATCGTCTCAGTATGTTTTAATTGAGTAATTTCTGATTATTTTATTTAAGGATTATAAAAGTATAGGGTAAAATATAAAATGATTTTCTGACTATAATGTATTGTTTTATTAAATCTCTCAACTATTAAAAATTATAAAATGATCTTTTAACTATAGAGTGTTGCTTTGTTGAGTCATTCGACTATTAAAAATTACAAAATATCACCTAATTTTTTAATATGTTTCAAACTCGTCATTTTTGTCTGACCAAAACGTTAACATGATGGCTAAAATATAATAATTATTTAAGATTTTAGGATCATATTTTATTATATCACAGTTAACTAATTAACGTTCAACTCAGAATGTCATCAATTTTTAATGAAAAATGACGAGTTTGAAACATAATGAATAGTCAAGTGAATATTTTGTAACTTTTAATAGTCGAGGGACTTAACAAAACAACACTCTAGTCGGAGAAATATTTTATAACTTTTAATAGTCAATGGACTTAATAAAATAATATCCTATAGTCGAGGATCATTGTAAACTTTATCCAAAAAATATATTAAAATTATTATTATAATATTAATTATTATTTAAATGAAAGAATAATTTAATAATTCTTAGGGTAAACTATACATTTATTATATAAATTATCAATTTTAGTCCATTTTAGTACTTAGACTTTCACTTTTTTCAAAACTATGTTAACTTTTAGTTTTTGTTTCATTTTAGTACACACCGTTACAAACTTAGCGTGTTAGTACCTAAATTTTCAATTTTGGTCCATTTTAATACCTAAACTTTCAAAAAAAAATCAAAACTTAATGTTAAATTTTGAACAATGATACTAAAATGAAACAACAACTAAACTTTAGATATGATTTTTTTAAAATTCAAAGTTTAGGTACTAAAAGAGACCAAAATTGAAGTTTGGGTACTAAACACGTAATTTACCCAAATTTTTAACTATTGTGTTAGCGATCTGATGATTCGATCTTCCAGTCATTAAAATTTAAGGTTATAAGTTTTGCTTGTACGTATACATACATACAACAAAATTTGGCAAACTTAAACGCATTTAGTATTTAAATTATCAATTTTGCTCTATTTTAGTACCTAAACTTTCAAAAAAAATCAAAACTTAATGTTAAATTTTGAACAATGGTACTAAAATGAAATAAAAATTAAACTTTTTATATGGTTTTTAAAAACATTCAAAGTTTAGGTACTGAAAGGGAACAAAATTGATAATTTTGATACTAAAATAATAATTTACTCTAATTTTTAACTATTGTGTTTGCGATCAGAAGATTCGATCCACCAGTCATTAAAATTTGAGGTTATAAGTTTTGCCTGTACGTATACATACATACAACAAAATTTGGCAAACTTTTCGCCAGATTCTAACTTCCGAGCAATACAACAACAAAAATTAAGTTCAATGAAAGACAAATAATAAGTGTTTTGGGGATTAGACCTCCTACCCTCTATCAATAATACAGAGTTTCATCGATCCTTCTTCTCACGTAAACTACAGAGGGTTGCGGGGTTCTCACACTACTTCAAAATTGTTTTACAACGATGTTTTGAGAGTAAATACCACTAACTGTAAACATATAGTGGTATTTTCCTTCCAAACGCCACGATATGATAACATTAGCGGCGTTTTTTATAAATGCCACAATAAGATCAATTTATAGAGGCATTTTTCAACCAACACGGCAAAATAGTAGAACTTTAAATGTTACAACATTTACTGGCGGTTATTTTAAAACGCCACAAAAGAACAACATATATAGCGGCGTTTTCTAACACGCCACTAGAAGTCATTATCTTTAGCAACGGTTATGGAAAAAACACCGTAAAAAATCATAACCATTAGCGACGTTTTATGACTAAAAAATGCCGCTAAAAACCTATTTTGCTGTAATGTCAGAGATTGTTCATCAAAACCTAGGGGGCTTCTCCGGTCGGGTGTGACGGGTGCCGGTATGATTGAAGTAGGCTTGAGAGTGCGTGGTGGCTGGGATCGTCCAAGAGGTCGGTAGAAGAAACATATGAAGCCAACAATCACTGTGATTACAATTAACCATAACCTTTGCCCAAAAGAAGACATTAATAGTAGCTTTTGGTTCAAGTTTCTCATCTGGTTCATAGTTAACATCCAATTCTGCTCTTTGACCTAAAATAAGAAGAAATAATAGATGAGAAGCTATTCGACATTGTACTCGTAAAAACAGAATCCGGATTCGAGACTAAGCTGACCGGTGGATGGGAGTGTGACGATGATTTTATCGGTGAACCGCTTGGCACTTGACACTTTTACGTGAATTGCAGATACAGTAAGATCAAAAAAGTAGCTTTGCAGCTAACAATTGCTCATTTCGGACGATACACACTGCTTTGACAGAACAATTTTTTTAGACGATAAGAATGGGCAGTCTCACCTCATACTGCACATGGCCAGCAGCTCCAAATCCTTCTTCGTGGACGGGTTTTATCTTTAACAAATCCCGGCTGCGCCAGTGGATTTCAACATCTACAAAGATCATATGAAAGAGGGAAATAATATTTGATAGACAAAAGGAACTATGGAATGCATCAGTACAAAAGAAGTGGGAGATGGAGTTGCAGCAAGAATGGACTTATGTATCAGCAAGGAGATGCAAAGAAAGAGGCGGTGCGTTTGCCCGAGTCATTTTACCTGTATTTCCCAAGATGGTTACGAGCGTCGTGTTAGAGTCTGGTGTCAGATTCAACTGTGTTGTATCCTGAAACACACAAAACATTCAGAAAATAATCCGTGATCCCTATTCGTGTTTGATGCGATAAAACTTATTATAACTGAAACAGTTCATTTGAAATATAAATCCAATACTAATAGTTCGATGATCTTATGCCACATCCGGAAGAATCCACGAATACAACGCAAGTGTTACCTCCCCCATTTGAACTATGGAAAATCCCCCGACAAAAAGTGCAGATGCAGATCCAGAAACATGGCTGTGTTATTTCTTTGAAGCATTGACAGAAACATAAATGTAAGGTTTCATGTCCTTCAACTTGGGTGCGGTGCGGACCAAATGCTCTGGAGAGTGAGGGAAGAATATGCAAAATGAATCGCCAGTGTCATGATCCATCCACGGGTTGGCATAGCTGCAGAAAACAAAAACCATCATAAATAATACAATTATTATATACAAGAACATTCAAACTTGAATAAGAGAGAGAGAGAGAGAGAGAGATACCCGACAAAAGGAGGGTCTACCCTACAGTCATATGGAGCTCCTTTACTGCTTCCTATGGCGTTGATCTTGATCTTGTCATTTATGCCACTGGTGTATGGTAAGAGTTAAAAATTTTGCTTACACATCGTTATTTGTTTTGCTCAAAACACAACTTAATAAATAACCATCAGTCCTTTATTATGCCAAAGATGGTCAGCCAGCTCCAAAAAATTGTCATATATTCTTTGAAGTTAATGAAAATTGAAATTCAAAAAAGGGAACAACTCAAACTGTCATCAATTTTTTTTATAAAAAATGACAAGCTTGAAACATAATGATTAATCAGGTGACCATTTTGTAACTTTTAATAGTCTAAGAATTCAATAAAGCAATACCTATAGTCGGGGACCATTTATGCACTTTACCAGGTGGATCTTCCGTAAAACGTCTTCTTAAACACTTAAAATTTTAGAATACCCATAGGGAGTCGAGTTGCAAGTTGGCATAACAAGCTTAGAAACACAAAAATATTCTACAAACCTGAACTTCACAGAAAAGCTAAATCCTTGAGAGGGAAGAGGAACATTTGTCAGCATCTCCTTTGGAGCATCCACAGCAAGAGTACTTCCAGGTAGAACAGTGACTGTTGTTTGCAGCTTGACATCGGAACATGTAACACAAATTGAAGGATACTATTGATGATTATTTCTCATTAAAAAAATTATGGTAGTTTGAGTTTGACGTTAATATATAGACTGAGATATGATAGTCGTTTGAGATTTTGAGCTGGGCCTTAACACAAAGGCCTACGAGCTAGTAGGCTTTATCATGTCTAAGCCCAAGAGAGTTGGGGCATCCACCTTGAACCCAAACATTTATTCGCCCTATTTTACAAATAAAATTTAAATGATTATATAATATTCTAAACATAATTATACACAATTATTATTTTATGATATCTTTAATTTTTTTTCATGCCTACATTCAAGGGTTAATGTATTAATGGTAGTAATTTGTAATCTATAAACTTTTAGGGTAAAGTATTTTATTTTATTTTTGTTTTAAGGGTGTTTGAAATCTATAAACTTTTAGGGTAAAGTATACAAATGGTCCTTCGATTATGGGATATTGCTTTATTGAGTCATTTGACTATTAAAAGTTACAAAATTGTCTATTGACTATAAGGAATTACTTTGTTGAGTTACTCGACTATTAAAAGTTATAAAAGGGTCGCTCAATTATTCATTATATTCCAAACTCGTCCTTTTTCGTTAAAAAATTAGCGGAAGTCTGAGTTGGACGTTAACATGTTGGCTGAGATATGATAGTCATCTGAGATTATGAGATCATATTTTTATCATAACTCAATCGGTAGATCGATGTATAGCTTAGTTTGTCGTTAGATTTTTAACGAAAAATAACGAGTTTGAAGCATAATGAATAGTTGGATGACCAATTTGTAACTTTTAATAGTCAAAGCACTCGACAAAGCAACTCCCTATAGTTGGAGGATTATTTTGTAACTTTTAATAGTTTAGAGACTCAATAAATTAATATCATATAGTCAGTGGACCATTTATGTACTTTACCCAAACTTTTAAGAAAAAAATCTATTAATTTCTTGAATTTTACACACCCAATTAAATCATTGAAAAATTAAATTAAGTCCTCAAATTAAGAAATTAAATCAATTAAGCCTTTGAACCAACATTGACCGTGAATTTTTAGATTAAGGAATCAATGATTCGTGCAATTATATTAGTCATGTATGTAAACTATATGATATTATTGAGCACAACTATAATGATTGAAATGTTTCGATTATTAGCCCAAATTAAGCGATTTCAATGGTTAAATAAATTGTTGTTATTCTTAGAGTTTTCAAGTTCAAGCACCAACGACTTTACAAGGTATTTGAGCACTCGTTGTTAAATGATCAGAAGTATTTAGAACAAATACTATCACTTGTAAGCATCATAAATTAATAAATGACTTAATTATAAAATAAGTGCTTAAACTGTATATCGTTTTTCCTAAATAGGTGCTCAAACTTTTTTTTTTTTGAATTATTAAAGTGTCTAACATTTCAAATGTTACTACTTTAGGCGTTCGGATGTAATCATCATTAAAAAAAGCTCGTTAAAAGTTGAAAATTTTATTAAAAAACTTTAAAATATTATTATATTAAAAAATCATAAACTTTTCTATTTTATACAAAATATGTCACAGTTCATAAAAATCCTAATTTCCAAATCTAAAAAACCTAATTTCCTAGTTGGTCGACGACATAGGGGTGGCTAGAAGTGGAACCTTATGATTGATAGATGGACTTGTGCGACAAAGGGATGGCCAGTGGGTAGTGCTTCAACGGTCGATGACACTACGATAAAAGAGAACACAAAGGAGAAGCGACGACGTTACCCTTTGCCATCGATTTTCAGTCTTTATTGTCCATCTGGGTGTTGGTTGTTCGACCATCCATCCTCGATGTCGTTTCCCGTCGCTGTCAGTGAACTTCGATTGGGTTTTTTTAGGGGTTTTCAAAAATTAAGACTCAAAAATAAAATTTTTAAAGTTTTTTAAAATTTAAGTTTCTAAAATTATCAAATTATAACACGTGTCATTTAAACAAAATTAACGGTCGCTAAGACCTAAACACCTAAAATAACACCAATTTAAAAAACAATATAAATTAAACACTTATTTTATAATTAAACTTTAATAAAAAAATTCAATTATTCATGTACCCGATAAACAGGACCCACTATGATCCTTTTCGACGGCTGAGATTAGAAAGGAAACCCCAGTGGACTCACTGATTCACACTACCAAAAACGGCAGCCGCCTTAAGCAGTAAACCCAGTGGATTATTTAAATCCCTTCCGACTCGAGAGAAAACCCTAAATTTCGTAAATTTAGAGCTAATTTTCCCGCCAATAAAGAAACCCCGGGCACGGGCAGAGCCACCCAAAAAGGGCGGCGGTGAAACCAAAACCGCGTTTGAAAATTGAAAAGGAGAGGCGACAATTGGTCCGTGAAATAAGTAGGGAACTGGGCCGTCATTATTATTTTTAGGGTAAACTACAAATTTAGCAAGTGAACTTTACTCTATCTTTTATTTCACTTATTGTGTTTTAAATATTTTCTACATCGGATTTTTTTATCACTCAACCGTTAAATAGTTAATGACGTTAAAATAAGTTGTTATATAGATGAAAAATGATGTTGTTTTAGCAAAAAATTTGTTTTCTCAAAACTGTGTCTTTTTTAATGTCGTTAACAATTTAACGACATAGTGACCAAAATCGGAGAGATATAAAGTATAGTGATGAAATTTATAATTTACCCTAATTTCATTGGTTTATAGAATCTTCTTGTTCTTAGGATTCCTTTATACTTTTATGAACATTGGATTCCTTTTTTTTCTTCTTCTCATGAGCTTTGATTTTTGGACCAAATTTTTTATTTTCTTTCGTGCATTAATTAGCTGAATTGTTTGAATGGAAAAAATTTCAAATTCTTGTGAAGTGCGTCAACTAATTATTACTATGCAGAAATGCAAATCAAGGCAGTAGAAGAATAATTTAATGATATATATATATATATATATATATATATATATATATATATATATATATATATATTCACGTATGAGATCATTTTATAATCAATTAAAAATTTTAACAATCACCCGCTAAATTGATGACTTAATAAGATAATAATGAATATAATATAACATTTAAAAATAATTAATTAATCAATCCATATTAAAACACTTTATCCTGAAATCAAACTACCTTTTATAATATAAATATATATTCAAATTATCTCACTTTATTATTTTAGTCCAATGCATATAACTAAGAACTCAAGATATTTGAGTATATTGGCAATCACAACTGCTCATATAATTTGCACCGAAGTGTCACGTAGAATTTGTCCCAAAGGATCACGTAGAATTGTCTCAAAGTACCATATAGATTTATCCCGAAGGATCGCGTAGAACCCTCGACTATTGGCATGTCAACTATACCTCTAATTTCGTTATTCAAAGTGTCTCTTGTCCACGTAGAGCACATTCACATAAAACATTTTCATATAAAACATATTCACGTATAACATTTTTCACATACCAATAAAACCAAAACAATAATTTGAAAATACACTTTAAATAAAGCATCATAAAATTTTTGCATAAAATAAATAAACCGTTTTCGATCGAAAACTTCGAGGTTAGCTTATCGCAAGTCGTCATCATATCTAATATAAAATAAATTAGTTGCACTTACCTTTGCCTCATGTAAGTTCTAAATAAAGTCATTTTCCTTTCATTCAATCTCATACTATATCGCTTCGTTCAATAAGCTTTCGATCTAAATCTACACGTCAACGTATTCAAGATAAATACCGAATCTTGATTAACAATTAACCAATACGCATTTACATAAACAAAATAAACCATCCAATTTAGAATCTCATACTGAATAGTATCGATACACCTCCTACAGTACCAATACTTCTCCTCAATGGACAATAGTACCGATGTCCACTTCAATATCGATACCATTTTGACATTATGTAATTTCATTTCAATTACAATATCGATACCTCCGCATCAGTATCGATACTAATTCAATCAATATCAATATTGTTCATCCGATTCATACATTTTTCTTCAATTTACCCTTATAGTATCGGTATTGTGCTTACAATACCGATACCCGAACCCATATTTGACCTCTTTCAATTCGAAATTTTCCCACGCTTCACCTAAATCTTAAGCTTTTAGCTCCATTCATACCCTCAAACTTATTATCACTTATCATAACTAATCTACCTCCATAAATCCCCTTATAACATATAAATTTCTTCATAGAACGCTTTGAACTAAAAATCACACCAAATATTCAAACACGTTTTTAATCTTTTCTAATACTTATAACTTCTTAATTAAACCCTTGACAAGTCAAATATATCATTAGAAATCCAAATACTAATCCATCTCATCAAATCCCTTAAAACCCCATTTTGCTAATTTATCATTAATTCACCAAACTCTTAGTTTTATTCATCCTTAAGCTTTCCTTAAGCTTCTATACCACTCAAGGCTTCAAAACCAAACCAAAATTTAAAGAAACAACCAACTTGAAATCAACTTCCCTTAACAATGGAGTTTACGATGGAAGAAGTGAATAAGAGAAAATATACCAGTTTCCAGACTTTTCTCCCTTATCTCTATTTCACGTATGCCTTAAATCCTTTAAAAATGAATTTTAAATTCATTTATTGACAAAAGACCATAATGCCCTTCCACTCTTCTATCTTTGCTAACAAGTCCTATACACAAATTTACAAAAAATAGTCATTAAACTTTTTAATTTATCAAATTCAACCACTAAATTTTAAATTCTTAAATTTTAGTCACTGACCCGATGTTTGGGGTATTACAATTCTCCCCCTTAAGAAAATTCGTCCTCAAATTTTAGCTGTACAAAGAGATGAGGAAATTGTCTTCTCATATCCTCTTAACGTTCCCATAACTTGTTATCTATTTACACTAACGTAGAAGTTCAACAATTTCATCATATTGTCAATATTATTTACACACATCTTAGGATATTGGGTTTCATTTAGAATTTCATTATATATCTTATCTAAAATTATCTTGATTTAATCTTAAGACCTTGTTTTCATTTATATTATTTTCATTTAAGATAATGTAAAATTTTTAACTGATAGAAATATCACGTTAATCTAATAATGATATAGAAAATAATAACGATGAAATATTATTATAAAATCAAGAAAAAGAACGAATTTACTCTATATTGAGATTGTTACGTAAAATAACAATATGAGACGAAATTGAACCTGAAAAAAAAGGTTAAACCTCCTAAAACTAAATCAAAGATAAATGGAAATTAAAATACTCATTCAGAAACAGTTGAGGTTTGTCGCTACATAGTTTTCTTAAGACAATTTTTTGACCACTCATTTGGTACTCGAGTTCGTTGGTCGTCTGTCTCTCATAATACACCAACTAGATAATCAATTATAGTAGCACACCTACAGAGATCACGAACTATCATTGCCTTTGCCTATCACCGAAAAACTAATGGAGATTTTTTTAAAACTTGTGTTTAATCTAGCTGGTTAGCACAATAATTATCTTACTAATATTCAAATTAAAAGGATCTTTTAATTTTTAATAGTTAAAGTAAATATTAATCTAATTTAAATATTAAATGCACCAATGAAATTTATATTTTATTTTAACATTAATTAAAAAAAGATAGATTTTATTGAAGGAGACTTAATTGAACTAAAAACATAGTACATGAATTTTTAATCCATAAATAAAACTCAACCATAATCTCTAATCTCTAATCCCTAAATCATGAATATAGAATTATAAAGTCTAAACTCTAACTCCCTGACACCAATGTCGTATTTATAAAAGATTTTAACTCAATGGTTCGGGAATCTATTGTTATCATTTAAAATCTAGTTTAAGTATAGCGTGTTGGGGTATAAACTTTTACTGTCAAAAATTTGAAAGTATTCGAATATATATTACCTTATATTTTTTTAAATTTATCAAAAAATATATCGATCGATGAATATTTTAACTAAAATATGGCCCCCGACCCGTACATGTGTACGGAACGACGACGTAATTGCGTCGTTTGTGGCATCACGCCGGTGATTGTGCCCCGACTGCGAGACCGGATAGCATCACTCCCCAGAAGAAGAAGAAATCAATATTCATGTCCAAGCAAAAGAAGGCCAAAGTCGTAAACTTCCACAAATCTCGGCGGGAAAAAGAGCCGTTGCTCATCAGCCTACCCAAATTTGGCGCCAAAAACAAATAATAATTCCCCTCGGGCTGCCCGTATATATCCGGGCAGCCACCATTTCTCCCCCTTTAAGAAATCAAAAGCTTAGCTAAAATCATCTCTTTCTTATCTTCCCTCAAATTCAAAGCCTTTTGATTCCTTTGAGGGAGAAAAAAAACTCAATCTTTGGCTCATTTTATTACAACAAAACACCTTTTCCCTTGTTTTTTTTATCTGTTTAGAGCCATCTTCAAGCTTGGGTTCTGAGAAAAATACTCAAGCTTTGGCTCATTTTATTCAAAGAAAGCTCCTTTGCCCTTGTTTTTTTTATCTGTTTTGAGCCATCTTCAAGCTAGGGTTCTTTTGTTTCTGCATAAAAAATGGGGGTTTCCAAGAAGCAGCAGCTGGATGGAGTATTGGATTCCGAAGGGCAGGAATGGGTAATCGCCGGAATCTCGATACTGACTTCATTGAAGCCGATAATCACGAAGTCGACATCTAAAGAAATCGAAGAAGAAGAAGAGAGATGTTCAACAACTCCAACTTCAAGAGAAGCAAAGATACCAGAGAAATTGACATGCCCTTTAGCTCCAAGGAAGCGTAGGCCTACACTAAGATGCCATTACAATGGAGTTAGGGAGTTCTTTACCCCTCCCGATTTGGAATCTGTGTTCAATCTCCGTGTTTGAGCTTGAAGAAATTTGGGGTTCTGTAGGTTAGCAAAAATAGCAGACAAGAGCTCAGGGTGTATAAAGATATGATATTTTGTATGACATAGTGTAGTGTAGTTTTTGATTTAGGGTTCATCAGAATTTTCCTCGACTATGATATATATATATGTATAATATGGAAGCTTCTTGATTTAGTTCATGGCGTGATGGATTTATGCAACTTGTTTGTGATGCTTGAAGATCATGAGATACGTGGATGGATATCTTGGGTAAAATAAATAATTAATATAAAAAATTTAATTTTAAAAATAAATATGAACCCACAAATTCAGATTTTATAATGAACACACAACATTCCTCGCGTGATGTTGGAATCTCTCTAGTCTTTATTGCATTCAATGGTTCAGTGCAGGGTCTGAGTACATATTTTCAATGTTGTCAAAGAATCATGGGTAAACTACGTATTTAATATTTTAATTATTAATTTTAATTATTTTTTCAATCTAAACTTTCATTTTTTAAAAAGTATATTTAAAATTTAATTTTCATTTTATTTTAGCAACATGTTAAAAACTTAATGCATTTAGTACATAAATTTTCAGTTTTTTTTTAAAATTTAATGTTAAATTTTGAACGAGGTACTAAAATAAAACAAAAACTAAAATTTTTAATGACATGTACTAAAATGAAATAAAAACTAAACTTTAAATATAATTTAAAAAAATTTAAAAGTTAAATACTAAAACAAACTTTTCTTTCACCTCTCTTTTTGTGACTATACACAAAAAATACACACACGTGTATAGTCTACACAAAGTCTTAAAGCTGCCCAACAGTAATGTAAAGCAAGTATTTTCTATCATATTTATGCTGTTTTTGTATTATTATATATGATAAGTTACATATTTAGTATCTAAACTATTAATTTTAGTTCTTTTTAGTACTTAAACTTTTGTTTTTTTGAAATCATACCTAAAGTATAATTTTTATTTTATTTTAGTATTCCACCGTTAAAAACTTTAGTTTTATTTTATTTTAATATCTCATTCAAAATTTAACATTAAATTTTGCAAAAATGAAAAATTAAGTACTAAAAATGACAAAAACTAATAATTTAGGTACTATACACATTAAGTTTTTAACGATAGGATACTAAAATGAAAATCGAATGTTACGTATAATTTAAAAAATGAAAATTTAGATATTAAAACGAACCCAAATGTATAGTTTATTATAATTAAAAATTGATTTCAATCTTTCTATTATAAAAATAATCTAATCTATATACATTTAAAAAGGGTAAATTATGCATTTAATACCAAAACTATTAATTTTGATTTATTTTAGTACTTAAACATTATTTTTTTCAAAACCATACATGAAGTTCGTTTTTATTTCATTTTAGTACCCATTCAAAATTTAATGTTTAGGCTTTGGATTTTTTTAAAATTTAGGTACTAAAACGAACAAAAAAGAATAGTTTAGGTACTAAATACATGTTTTTAACAATTGGTACTAAAATGAAATAAAAACTAAACATTAGGTAAAATTTTGAAAAAAAATAAAATTTTAAATACTAAAACGAACCAAAACTGATAATTTAGATACTAAAAAACATATTTTACCCTTTAAAAAATCAATATTTTGATTTAAAATATTAAAATTACTATACATTTATCACTTAGACACCCTTGAATCTTACAATTTTTAAACTTGAGCAATTTAATCTATTTCAAAACATAATTCATAAAATTTACATAAAAAATTACACAAATTTCATTTTAATATTCTGTCTATGAACTTTTTTTCTCTATAATTCCAATAAAATAACAATTGCAAGTCAAAACATAAACAGACATTAATTTTTACCACCACTTGCAATAATATTAAAAATATAAAACAATATCAAAGCTTGATCCAATCATAGTTGGAAATAAATCATGTATCAGAAAAGAATCAACATCATAAATCATTATTATTTACACACTTTCAAAATGCACATCGAATAAATCATCTTTAAAAAGAGAGAGATCAGTTTGCTTAATCACAACCATAATCAAACTATTTGTCATGTAATTTTGTTGCCAATCAAGTTTTAGTGTAATCCAAGTTTGTTTCATGGTTCATATTCAAACAATTTCTTCCATCCATCCATACATGCATGGATGACTACATACATACATAAGAAATTTTGATATAGCATTTCAAGTTTATGGTCAAACGCAAAAGCATAGGACAGATCCGATCTAACACTTGCACCAAAGTACAAGTAACAAAAAATGAAATATGCTTTTGCTAATCTACCAATGCCAGTTCGGGTTCTATGTGATATAGACACATAGAGATACTACACTAAACCACGTATTAAATCTCATAACAGACAATCAGGTTTCGGATCAAAAGTAAAGTATACAATCTTCTAAGCGTTATACGTTCATAATCACTCACACATACATACATGCACACAAGATTGGCTTTAAATCGAAGACGTATCGGCACTTTTTCTAAGGGCTTGTTTTCAAACAAAATTCTTTACGGTTCTTCTTAGCACTTTAATCAGACACAAACACAAGATTAGCTTTAAATCAAAAGCATTTATATAAACTATAGCAGACCAATAATGGTTTTCCTGAGTACTAATCTAAGATATATCTATTCAAGCTGCCAGCAAAACCAAATCGGTTTGCATTCTAACAGTATTTATGTCATAACAAACAATCAGGTTTCGGATCAAAGGTCGAACATGCAATCTTCTTATCATTACAAGATTGGATTTCAATCAAAGACACATATCGACACTTTATCTAAGGGCTTGTTTTCAACCTAAAATCTTTAGGGTTCTTCTAAGCACTGTAATCAAACACAAACACAAGATTAGCTTTAAATCAAAAGCATTTATATACACTATAGTAGACCAAAATCTATTCAAGCAGCCGGCGAAATCAAATCGGTTTTTCTAACAGTATTTATCTCCATATTCAAATACAACCATGATCAAGTAATTCAAAGATCAAAGAAAATAGGGTAAAGTATATTACAGGTCAGTGTAACATGTAAAAATGGTCTTTTTGATAAAAAAAACCTTCCAAATGTTACAGAATGATCATTAAATTTATCAAACAGTTACAGGATGATCTTTCAACTTATCAAACTGATACAAAATAATCCTTCAACTTAGCAAAATTTATTGTTATTTTAATATTGCAGGAGGCATTGCCAATTAGAAATTGGAATAATCAGAATTGAAAATTCACCACTGCAATCAATGAACAGCTAAGTAATGGCAATTATCCAATACAGGAACTAAAAGTTCCTCCATTCAACAATTCAAAAATAAAAGTGCATATAAAACTAGATAAATTCCAGTACCCTTTAACATAACTAACATTGTCCAACCAAAAACAAAACAATAAATAAAAACAACATACTTAAACTGAAGAACCCATTGAATAGATGGACGCTCACCCTTTAAAACCTCCTCCCGGGTCCACCACCACCGCGGCCGAACCCGATTTGGGGAGTCACAGCAACAGGGTCAACCTTAACAAGCCCAGGGATATCAGACATCCCAAGGACCGAAAGCATATCGAGTGTTTCCTTATCGACCTCGATTTGGTCGACCTTGATGGCCGATTCATCGGGGACGAAATCCATGCGACGCTCACGCTCTTCCTCTTGGAGCTTGAGGGAAATGCCGCGAACGGGTCCCTTCTGGATCCGTTTCATCAGATGGGTGGAGAACCCGGCGATCTTGTTGCGGAGCCTCTTCGACGGGATGATGGCGACTTCTTCGATGATCTTCTTGTTGGTGTGGAAATCCAGGGTCATGCGCGAGTAGTACCGCTCGATCACCTGACGGGACGATTTCTTCACTGTTTTGGTACGGACGCGGCCCATTGTTTTTGAATCTGTTGACGGCTCTGCTCGGTGGCTAGCAGGAGCTTAGCGGGAGTGGCAGCAAAATGAAGAGTTAGGGTTTCTGAGTGATAAATTAGGGTTCATGTACTTATGTGAACGAGTAAATTGTTGGGCCTTTTTTCAATTCTAGTGTTAGTATTATGGGCTTTGCTTGGAACAATCTAAGAGTTTATTTGTGTAATATTAAGACTTACAATTATTTAAATTGTTATTAGACTATAATTTTGAAAACGTTATTCAGTCGGTCTTATTTGATTAAATATTTAATAAAACTTTATATATTTTTTAATTTAAATATTTATTTTTACATGAACCAAACAATTATTAGACAAAAATTATATTAAATATACTAATTTAACAGGGGTTGGGGACTCTTTGGGCCCTCTCTATGCTCCGCCCCTGGTCACTAACATTTTTCGGAGTATTTTGATCTCAATATTTTATTTTAGTGAAAACACCTATTTTTTTTGAAGCATTTTAACATCAATATTTTATTTTAGGACAAAAAAATTCATAATTTGTCACGGGAGGACTTTTCGCCCCAAAATAAAATGGTAAAGTCAAAATATTAAAAGAAAGCCAGAATCACTATTATTTTATTGCCCTCTCCCAGTTCCCAAGATTTTGCCATGACTAATCTAGACCAATTCGTGTCGCACACTTGATTTTGGTTTGTGTCTTTTAGCGGAATTTTTTTGTATATACAAAACCTCGAACTCAAAACCTACTTAAGCGATATAAAATTATTTATCACTTGAATCAAAGCATGATAACAAAAGTTATCGTTCAACGTTTGCACAAATGACCACTTTGCCCCTATCCTTTTTTTTGAGCATTTTAGTCTCCAATATTTTATTTTGGATCTCTATTGATCGACTAATCCGGATCAGATATTACAGTGGTAAGGGCAGATATTACAGTGGTAAGGGCGACCCTCCTAATCTAGTTTATTCCATTCGCAATAACTAGGATTCGACCCCTTACTTTGCTTAAGAAATCTAATGCATCATCCCACTAAATTAACATTAACAATGTCTTTATCTTTTATATTCTTTAATTTTTTAAATTTCATATCGTTTTCATTTGATTGTAGGGCGAAATAAGTGAACGGTGAAGTAGGTGGGAGAGTTGAGGAACTAACAGCATTCGTTAAACGCAACATTATCAGCTGATGGGGTACCAAATGCCTCTGTCGACAGATTGAAAGAAGGTTTCGTGTACTTCGGGAAAGAAAAAATATGAGTAATTCACTCTTCGCCCCCTTCAATTTTCATCAAATTCTCTTTCGGTTTCACTGAATATCTTGCAAGTCTTCCTTGTTTTGCAGTAATAATCATTCTTTGTATGGTGAGCTTGCCAAGGGTCAAAGCCCAAAGGTATAACAGAATGTCGAGTTTGAATCGGTTTAAGCTCTGGTTATAGTTTATTGGCAAAAAGACATTAGAACATGAGCAATTTACCTTTCAAGAGTTATATTGGCTACAGACAATGAGTTTTATTGGTTTGAATCGACATAGGAATAATATATATATCTATGTAATGATGATAATAAAATAAAAGTTGTCAACGGATGGTCGTGTGGTGGTAGACAAAAAAATATGTTTTAAAAATAAGTATGATTATAGATATTTTATATATAGTGTTAGAAAAAGGAAAATACATAAACCGTGCTCAAATGAGAAATAATACAATATAAGAAATGTTATAAGGAAAGATGAAAATATGATAAGATACTAAGTTGTTGTGAATGAGTGTAATAAAATTTTATGTTATAAAGATAATTTGGTTAAATTTTGAATTAGACAATTTTAAATCATGATATGAAAAAGTATTAAATTGTCTATATATTGAGTGAGATTAGGTGTAAATTGAAAATTAAAATATTACATCATAATTTTATGCGGTTAAATAGTATGATAATAAATGTTAAATTAGAGATTTTAAAAGAAACAAAAAAATTTCCTCTTTCGAACAGTAACGGTTAAACAAAAACATGTGACATCCTTAATTTGTATTTAGAAATGAATGCGGGTTAAAGGTGTTAGACTCAGATTCATCAGAAAAATTAAAACAAAATTTTCAGGGGGGAAAAAACGAATTCATAATACCAAACCAACAACTTCCTTTGCAACAGCATCCAAAGTTCCATCCTTATTTTCCATGGTTGTATACAGTTGGTACTTTTCAAAACATAAAAAGAGAAGGAAAAGAAGAAGAAGAAGAAGAAGAGATCAAAAACGAAAGAGAATCAGAAATTCAAAGGATAAGAAACAAAGCTTTTCATTTCTTGTGCAAATATTCTTCTTTCACAAGGGGAATATTTATATACTTGGTGGGTAATGTTGCTATCATCGATGTTACACTGATACGGTGATACAGGTATGGATACGGAGACGGACTATTTCTACAATTATACGGGATGATAAGGGTATGACATATAAAAAAATTTAAAATAATAAATAGATATAAAAAAATCATAAATAAAGTCAATACTTCATAAAAAAATAAAAAATAAAATTCATAAATAAATCACGATAATAAGTATCAAATCTCAAGACTCATACTATAAATTAGGTTTAAAAACAATATTAAACAACACAAATCAAACATTATTAATATATTCCGAAATCAACTCGCTCTCCAACCATAAACAAATCTCAAGACTCAAACCACAATATTAAATCTAAAATAATAAAATTCATAAACAAATCACAGTGCCGTCTAATAATGTTGCTGTCTAACTATGAATGGTTAATTATTTTAGAAAAAAAGTTCGATTCGATTAACGGTTAAAGCGAAAAAAAAATCGGTTAATGAAAATTTAAAAGTTTGATTTAGTCGATTAACTGAACCGACTGATTGAACACTCCTATATATCAATGTCTTGATGTATTTTTTAGTTCTTCAAAAAATCTAAAACATATATTGTTACCAAAACACATTATTTGTACATGCAAATATGCCTTAATTATATGTGAAAAAAATAATATTTATATGCAAATATGAAATTAAAAATGATTAATTAGCTTCAATAACTTAATTTATCTATTGACAAAAATATATCAAAATTTTGACTAAAATAAAACATTAAATTGTACCTTTTTTTACATATAATCCCAGTGATGAAACAATATAAAACTAGAAAAAGAAAAATGAACTTTCAGCTAACTGAGAGTGAAATACTCATGGAAATTAGAGAGTTTCAACAGATTGAATAATTTATTTACCTGTACAAATCCGGGGAAAAAAACAAGTTCCGGTCCTCAACTTGTGTCGCCTTTAGGCGACTCTTTCATGCTAGATGTCGGGGACAGACTCTGCTCCGAAGCTTCAGCCGATTCCATATGCTCAACGAAACTCTCTCGATCCAAATCCCCGAATTCCCCATTGCCTGAAGCAGCAGTGACTTCTTGGGCAACGTTGCATGCTGATTTTTCTTCTGTCTGGCCAACGGCTTCTAATGGTTCCTTGGGTGTGGAAGATGGAGTTTCATTGCTACGATGGTTAGTGTTAGATGTCAGCCATTTGAACTGCAAATTGTGGCATTGCCAGCATTTACCATTTATATAAGCCCTTTCCGCCGATTGGCGAGTTCTGTAAGTTATAAGCGCTGAGCAATTCTTCAATGGCTCTGATCTGATATTACCGGCGTCTTTGTTTTCCATGTCTTGTAGTTCCACAGAGGAAAGATCTCCGTACTGTAAGAAGTGCTCCTTCAAAACAGCAACCTAGTTGACAATCAGACATGAGTTATCTCTCATTGACAACAAAGAACAAAGAAACAATTGAGTTTGCCATTAAAATTATCAATTTTTTTTTTCCGTGTATTTGAAAGGTCCTTGAAAGATCATGTCCGAATATATGTCGGACACTGATATTTCAAGAAATATGAAGAACCCAAGCAACATAGCTACAATAAACCCAAAGAATCAAAATATTAAGAGGTTTCCTCGAAGAGCATGAAAAAGATTATACTCAAATTTCAATGTGAAGGAACATAAAGTTCTCTATTCATTATCAACTGGCTTCATTGCACCTTTTGAATAATTCATCTGCATAAAGTACGGGAGTAAATACAATTCTCAGATGAGAGAAAGGAGAGAGGATGACTCACATCTGCAAAACCAGAAGGCAATGGTGGAATAACTCTAAACGCAATTGGTCGGTTGTCCAATTTGTATTTATTCATTGGGAATGGATGCCTAATAGGTGCAGACAGATGAGGCTTACGAGACTGCTGCTTTGAGCTTGTAGATTCCAGCAATGCCATAGAGGTACTCGGTTTTGAACTTTGAGACGCACCATTCTCAGTTGATTTGTTCTTATCTGTCATCCCTATAAAGTATGGTTTTGCGGCAGGAGCACCAGATTCAGAGGAACCAGGAATCAGAGCTTTTGCAGGATCAGCTGCAATACCCACCTTTTGCTTCTTAGCAGCTGGCTCAGTTAGTAGATCTCCCTTGACAACACTAGACTGCAAAAGATTGAAATAGAATCAAATGTTAAACCCACATTTACATTTTAAAACACTATTTTTCTGTTCCATCATTCTCTCTCTACCCATGTCAGCATGTGTACGTAATCAAACAATTGGAAAATAAAATGCATGAATGTTTGACGATGTCGGTTAGGCAAGGCAAATAGCCAATACTGAAGTTTTTCACATCACTTGGCTACAGAATTATGTACCATTCACAAGACCATGAAAACATGCAACTTCCAAACCTGATTTCAACACAACAATTATTGTGACAATGTAAAATATACTTAAGAAGTGCATATTTAGGAAAATTGTATATATAATTAAAGAAAGTTGTTGGTACTTGTTTCTCAAGTTTGTCCAACTTGCGCCGAAAGTCGTTCCGCTTCTGCTCCAGCATTTCCTGCTTCTTGCGTAATTGCTCTTTCATTTGTTCTAGAGTGTCCAACTTTTTCTGCAATGGAGGTGGAGCCTGGGAACCATTCATACTAACAGGTTTAGGGGAGTTCAGCGAAGGGAAATCGGCACCATGGACAACATTACTCTTCTGAGCAACAGGTAGAAGATTATCGTTTCCTCTATTAGCAACAGGTTGAGCTGGGATAGCAGAAGCTGTTAGACCATGTGGAGTTACAGATACGCCACTGACACTTTTTATTCCATCAACAGGTATGTTATCCCGATTAGCCCACCAAAGCTTAATGAAACGGTTACCCATTACAGCATCAGGTGCCTTCAAAGCAGCTTCTGCCTCTTCCCTTCTTGAAAACTGGACAAAGGCCCGTTCACCATTTAATGGAATGTAAATGTCAATAACCTCCCCGAACTTACGAAAATGAGAAAGAAGAGCCTCTCTTTTGTTGCATTTCTGGGGAATCCCGTTGACAAACAGTGTATGAAGTGCCTTTTGAGTTGGTTTTCTGCTACTACGAAAATCAATCTGTGACTTCAATGAAGAATCCACAACTTTGGAGCCATCATCCTCGCTTTTGATCCGTTTGACCTGACAAGAAATGTCTTGAGAGCTAGGAAATGCTCCTTGTTCTTCCTTGGTTTCATTCTCAGGATGGTCCGAGGGTATTGGACCAATTTTGTCTTTTGTGTCTATTCCACTTCTGGAGCTACCAACTCTACCTCTACCCCAAACAGACAAATTCATGCTCTGTGACCCGGTGCTTCTAATCGGCAATTCATTATCAGCACCGTTACGTAAGCAGCCATGAGGACAATCAGAGATGTCATCATTTGGCAACGGTTCTGTTTCATTGGTCTTGGGTGACCGAAGTCCAGTCAGTGCAGCTGATGCTTCTGGACCATTGTTATTCCACAAGGGTTGATCGGGATCATACAAATCACCATTTGCATTAGTTGAACCAGAATATGCACCATTCAAACCTACAGCATCCTCCGTAATTCCAGATTTTTTATTTTTGCCATGTATACCTTTGCTGTTCATCGAAGTGGTTGGAGGAAGGCTAGAAGGTGGTGGCCCGGGGCCAGCAGGTTTTGCCAATATTTGTGCACTTGGAACCGTGACAGGAAGGTTAAACTGTGACAGACTCTGCAAATCGAAAATAAAATTACCATCAACTCAGATACAAGGGGAATGCTAAAGCTAAATCAGTCAATGTTATAAGAAAGAATTTATGTTGAGCAAGAAACTTTCCTACCAAGGTAATTTGGATTGCAAGCAATAAATATGAGAAAATTTCAGAAAATTAGAATATTTAGACTAAAAAGTAAGGGCGAGGCTGAGGTTAGTAATGCAGCATACAATGCAAGTATATTGCCAACAAGCATTTAAAAGTTGTTAAAATGAAAAATTTTAACATTAACAAAAAGCAAAAAATCTTTAACACACTGCTCATCATTATACTTTTTGAGGGCACCAAAGAAGGTAAACTGGATGAACAATCTCCCTAGCTAGTCCTAAGTGAAATTACATTGCCATATGACATATATATATTTCCTAAAGGCTCATGGAAAACTGCATAAGCCTCCACATGCCAAAATTAGGATAAACATCAGCAAAATGCATACCTGAAAATCTTCCACAACAATACGATTGACACCGTGCTCCATTGGGCACATGTCTCCTCTTAGACAAAATCCAAGCTCCTCAAAATCTCTGCAACATTGGCGAGGAATGCCCATATTCAATGAAGAATTCATCGGCGGCCTGAGCACCCCTTGTAGACCAATAGAATGGAGCGTATCAAGATCACCATTTGGTATTCCTGGCATTAGCCCAAAGGCACTCCATGATGGGGCTTGTGCATTTGAAAGATTTGGCAATCCCCTTCCTGCAAAGAGACCTGGAGCAACTGATCCTGGCTGAACCATTTGATAAGCAATATCAACAGCATTGAACCTAGAATCACGTTGATTCCAAGAGGAGTTATCCCTTCCTCTTCCATGGCCAGGATCAGAATCTCCGCTGAATGTTTGGTTTGGCCTAATTCTATGGTTTAGATCCGAATGTCCTCGAGGAAGTGATGCTAACCCAATGAATCTTCTATCAAACTTAGGTCTCAAGTCTTTTTCTGGAGGCAAACTGTTAGAATTTTTCCAGGTTTCACCTGCTTGAGATTCATTATGCCCATTTTCAAAGGGTTTATTGCGCTTTCTGTATGGCCTTGTAAATAAAGGATCTGTAGAATCTCTCTCTAAAGGTTGAGAGCATGTATCCCTCCGACGATGCTTATGGTTGCGATCATCATCTTCTTCATCACTAACTTCTTTCTCCTCAGGTTCACTTATGCAACCAGGCGGAGAAATACCACCGAGCTCAGATGATGAGACTTTCAGCTTCATCAGATCCTTTTGAAATAAATAATATATTTGTATCCTTTTACAGCAAGCAAAGCACTAAAATCAAACCAAATGCAGCAGTCGTTCCCTAGAGAAGAAATTTGAAGGAAAGAGTTTAGGTAGGTACTAACAGCATAAAACAGCATAGAAGAAAGCTTATGGAAAATGAAAAATTAAATTGCAGATATTAAGGTCATTTACATCACCAGAATGCTAGTGGAAAAAGAAACATGTTAACATTCGAGACAAATAAAAATATTAAAAAAATACGTAATCAATAAGATAAAGATGTTAAATCCATAAACTTATCAATATGCTTCTTTGTTTGATATCATATTTGTCCCTTGAGCAGATTAACCTATTTTTAACACAATTTACACTTATTATGATAATCATATGTCCAAATGAATCATATAACCCATAGCCTCGAAAACCATAAATCAATTGAGGAAAGTAAGGCAAATGAGATAGTCTCTATAAACAAGTTGACTATATTTTCAAATGCCTCAGAATGAAGTCTCATATTTCCATAACCCAATTTTCTACCCCAAGAGTCAATTAAAGAATATTAAGTTCAAAGCTAACAAACTAAACTTTCATAGCTTTATGATGAGTGGCTTCCATAGGTGCAAATCTAACACTCAAAGTCTCCCATTCAAACCCGTCTACCAAAATTACAGAACCAAAACCAAATACGGCTTAGCCTCTATAGCCTCCACAAAGAACATCTCCAACACTACTTTTGTCTTCAATCTTCATTTATATTCATAACTCCTATAAACTACAACTGAATAACTCATGTTCAATAAAGCCTCCTTTCAAAGGCCAAAAACGCATCCTCACATAAATACCAAAGAACACACCAACTAAATCAAATGCCATTAACAAAAACACCACGAGTATTGCTGCGTTTTTCATGATGCTCAACTTCATAACAGAACTAAAAGTTACAGAAAATAGTCGAATACCTCTATGGAACTGCTTCTACACTCGATATCACTTTAAAGCTATCGAAACGACGCAACAAAATTGAGATAACTGATTTCTTTGTTCCTTGAGCATGGATCCTGATTAGTAACCTAGAGACAACAATCTCAATAGCAACAATTCTCTAGTTAAACTACATTAATGCTGAAAAAGACGAAAATCAAGTGGAAAATATAGAAACAAACCCTAATCCGAAAACTATAAAAAATCGTAAAAAATGAGCTCAAATAAAAAAAAAATTCCATGTATATCCAATTACTTAAACGAAATTTGAAGAATTAGGAATACAAATCAAAACGAAATTAGGCATCTAGGTTTGGCAGAAAAAAACAATAAGCAATAAATAAATTCTATAATAATAGTAGGCCAAAAGGGAACTTACAGAATATTCTAGAAGAACACAATGAACAATGCCTTCGGAGCTACTATCTGGTTCTGGATCCAATCCGACCCGACTTGAAAACGCGAGAAGGTAAATTACGATGCGACGGAGGGTTATTTCGGGGAGATAGAAAAAAGGCAGGGCGGAGAGAGAGAAGGCGGGGAGATAAAAAAGTTAAATCGAGGGGGCAGATTTTAATTCGGACGTTGTTTGTCCCGAAGGGAAAAGAGAGATTTGTGAAGGGGAAGAAGAAGAACGTGGGACAAATCTTATTTCAGGACGCAGTCGAGAAAAGGGATACTTTCGTTTTAAGCCCTTATGATTTTACGCACATTTGTATCTGCCCCCACAGAATTTCATCGTTTCAATTCAATGATTAGGGTTTGCATGATAATACGTGTATTTTATTTATATTCATATCATTGATGTGAAAAAAAAACAACAATAACAACAAAACCCTGATTCCCATATGCAATGGGGTAAGGGGGAGGTAGGGTAGTAGGCTGACCCCAACACCAGGTTGAGAGCAGCTTCCGTGGAAGACCTCCGCAGTCAGAAAATTAAAATAAAGATAAGATGCAAATGCGTGTATAAATAAATAAATAAATACATAGATGAACAGTCTTTATATGCAGTCTTGATATGTGCGCCTGTAATGGGGAGTAATCCCTGTAAATAATTCCCTGTGATAAAGAATTTATTTTAGTACCTAAACTTTTAATTTTTTTAAACTCATACCAAACATTTATTTTTTGTTTCATTTTAGTATCGACAGTTGAAAACTTAGTGAAACTAATACAACTTGGCACTTTTTTTTGGGTAAATTACATCATTCATCACTAAATTGTCTTCTCACTCCTATTTTGGTCATTGAAGTTTTTTTAATTTAATTACTTAACTTTTAAATTCTTCCTAATTTAATCACTCTAACTTTCAATTTTTTTATTTATTTTAATTATATATTAATATAATAATAAAAAAGATATAATGTTATAAAAATAAATTAGAGTGATTAAAACATGAGTAATTTACCTTTCAAGGAAAAAACATGAGCAATTTGAAACTTGAGTACTTAAATTGAAAACTTTTAAATTTTAATGACCAAATAGGAGTAAGAAGAAAGTTAAGGGATGAATGCTATAATTTACCCATAAAATGTCATGTAGTACCGTTAAATTTTTAATGGTAAGGTACTAAAATAAAACAAAAATTAAACATCAGATATGATTTTGAAAAATTACTATATTGCATTAAATTGTGATTTGGGTTAAACTTATTGTATAACCCGAAATCTTAGTGAAAAAAGGGTCATCGTGTCTATAAACATATACTATTTATTAAAATATGAGTTAATTACATCACATATCTCCAAACTATGGCACTCATTTTAAATTAATCTTTAAGCTCTTGAATATTTTTATTTCATCCTCAAAATTTCATACTCATTCTAAATTCATCCTTAAACTTTTGGACATTCCATTTCATCCTCAAACTATGGCCCTTATTCTAAACTAGTCCCTAAATTTTAAACATTCCAATTTCATTCCCAAATTCATCCAAATATGTAATTAATTATAACCCTAATTTAACTTAAAATTTATTTTTTCAACATATAATAACACACCTTGACCTACGATTTTATTAACATGAAATGTTATTAGTATATACATATAATTTGGGATGAAATTGAAATGTTAAAAATGTTAGGAGACCAATTTAGAAGAAAGGATATAGTCTGGGGATGAAACTAAAATTTTCAAAAGTTTAAGGACTAATTTAGAATGTAATCATAATCTAAGGATGAATTTAAAATATTTAGAAGTTTAAGAACCAATTTAAAATTAGCGTCAAAATTTGAGGACAATTAACTCTTAAAATATTGATTGAAGTTAGTGTCATGAATTTATTCGAGCATCAATTTAGTCTGAAATTATATCATATCCATATTTTAAAATCACTTAAAGTTAATAAATTGGGGAAATAGGCTTACACAAAATATAAACTATAAAGAATATAAATTTATATGATTATAATATTTATTTAATTTTATCCTGAAAATAATAAGGGTAAATAACATTGGTGGTAATTTGTTTTTGATTTATTTAATTTTGGTCACCTGTTTAAAAAATTACATTATAATCACTTTTGTTTTTTATTTGTCTTATTTTAGTTGCTTGATAGTTTATTTTCATTAGTTTGTTGATGTAACATGTTAGTAAAAATAGCTAAATCCCTATATTTTAGACAAAATATTAATTTAACCATAAATATTAGATAAAATATTAATTTAATCTTTGAACTTAAGATAAAATATCAATTTGATCCCTGAATTCAATCAAAGTCTCCCTTATTATCGCCACTCATCACCATCGGCAATCCACCGTTGGTTGCCAATAACGTTTGACCCTAAAAATTTTCAGTTCACTCTTATTTGACCTCCTGATATTGAATCCAATATTTATTTCACTAAAAATATTTGAAACTATACAACCAGATCTAGAACCCGTCAAATTCCTTTAAAAATAAACCGTAACAATAAATTTATCATAACGTTTCTTTAAAATTAAGGACACCGAAATTCTAAATCTATATCATAATGTAATCATATTATAATGATGATAATTTAATTTATATAATTTTTGATAAATTTAATAATTACGTGTAAACTTTATCTTTATTTTTCCCAGTATTTCGTGTAATACTTAAATTCAATTTTTTAAATGTTAAAAATAATTTAAAATAAATTAGCTAATTATTTCGTAAATATTTAAACAAAATTTACATTTTAAAAATTGAAATATTGAACCAAAACAATAGCAAATGAGGTATTTTAGAGTGAATTGAGATAAAATAGTTAAATTGAAATATTGAACCAAAACAATAAAATAGTTAAATTCAATTTTTGGGTAAATTACATGTTTAGTACCTAAACTACTAATTTTGGTCAATTTTAATACCTAAACTTTTTATTTTTCCAAAATACCTAAACATTAGTTTTTATTTCATTTAGCACCTCCTTAACGACACTACATTTTTATGACTAAATTACATCATTCATCACTCATTTATCTTCTCACTCCCATTTTGATACTAAAATTTAAAAAAATTCAATTTAGCTACTCAACATTCAAATTACTCCTATTTTAGTCACTCTAATTTGTTTTATTAATAATTTTTGTGACATGACATTTATTATTATTTTATTAATATATAATAAAATATAAAAAATAAATTTAAAAGTTAAAATGATTAAATTAGGAGTAATTTGAAAGTTAAGTAATTAAATTAAAAAAATAAATTAGTGACCAAAATAGAAGTAGGAACATAGTTGAGTGATGAATGATATAATTTACCCATAAAAAATGTGCCATGTGCAAACGGTTAAGTTTTTAACAAGGAGATAATAAAACGAAACAAAACTAAATGTTAGATATTGTTTTGAAAAAATTAAAAGTTTAGGTACTAAAATAGATCAAAACTGATAATTTAGGTAATAAATGAGTAATTATCCGGTTTTTGTTAAAATCTAACTTTATGACAGTTTCGAGAGAATAAACTATATTTCGGGGTTCTAATATAGTAGTATTACATGGTCCTCCGTTTAGTATGCAATTTGTACTTGAATTATTTAAATTTGAGTAAGGGATTTTTTTCACTTCCAGTCCCTATTATTTTGATCCAAAAAATGGTTTAAACTTACTCCAAATTTTGCTGAATCTTCCCATATTTAATTCCATGCTAGCATTGGTTCGAGCTTCAGCTTGAGCAGGGGTCTCTTCTTCAACTTTCACTCTTCCTGCAGCAGTTACAATATTAAGCTGACTAGCTATAACTTTAAAATTTTGGATCAAAATGTTAACTTTTCAAACGTAGGTGGACTAAAATGTCTCTTTTTATAGTAGAGAAATTAAAATGAACTTTTAAGTATAATGCGTGGACTAAAATGTTACTTTTTATAGTAGAAAGACAAAAATGCAATTACGATATGCTCAAACTCAAAATCTCGAAAAATAACAACCATCTCTATAACCACCGAGATAGTTTAGTTCGTACAATTCATTATTTTTTATTATTATATTTTGTAAATTATATTATATAAAAATGGTATACTAATACTATATACAAATTTGATAACTAAACTTTACTCTCTCTCTCTTATTTCATTTAGTGTACTTTAAATCTTTTTAATTTACTCACTGAACTCTTAATACATTGAATTTTTTGGCCACTCAGTCGTTTTCTCACTAATGATGATATGACGTGGTTTATTTTATTTTATTTTTTAATGTGTAAATTAATTTAATCAACGAACTTTACTCTCTCTTATTTCACTCACTATACTTTTAATTATTTTCAATTTAATCATAGAACTTTATGCATTGGATTTTTTTTTCGATCACTCTTCTGTTAACAACAAAAAAGGTACATCATAACTCTGCTAGTGAGAAAACGACTGAATGACAAAAAACCCAATGTATTAAGTTCATTGAGAAAATTGAAAAAATTTAAAGTAGAGTGAGTGAGAATAGGAGAAAGAGTAAAATCCAGTTACCAATTTGTAATTTACCTTATACTATATTATAATGTAAATATTAAAAGATACTTCAAGTAAATTATACCGTTTCTCTGTTGTCCTTGAGCATCATGATCTTGCTGCTTTAACTGCTTTCCAAAGGCCTTAGCTGCCATAAACACATTTGCAGGTCTTTCCCAGCCTCCTCCAAATACACCATACCCTTCCTTTGGCTGAGGTTGCATCAAGAACTCAGCACTCTCAATTCTTCACTATCCACCCAATGTATGCAGTTCACCGGGCACGATTCGACCGAAATCTGCAAAACAAGCAGTTCAGAAAGATCATATGAACAACTTTGATCCTACACACGACATTACTGGACGTGTTTCTTTACGTCGATTTCCCGATCACCGTCTCCGTATTGAACCTTGACTCGAGCACATCCGAGGGCCTCATCCATCTCGAACGTGTTGCTCGCGTGGTGAACACATTCTCTACAACCTATGCAGGCGTTTGCATCGACAAACAGAGCTTGGGGTCTCACAGGCCCATGCCAAGAGCTAAAACCGGATGCACTGCAGCCTAGTTTTGCTCTCATTGAACCAATGGAAGCATTGTACTCTTTCCTTAGATCATCTTGTATCAGCACCTTATACGCTTCATTCAGCATTAGAGTGTATTCATGCCCCTAAACAAATGTAACAAAACACTTAGGCCAT